CAGATCCTCAAGGTTGCTTGGTTTAAATTAATGGAGAACTGATCATTGTTTGAATTTTGCTTTAAGATTTGAATCATATGAAAATATGTAGTAAATGTTCATACTTGCTTTATTTCACGTTCTTTAAGGCATTACACATTGGTTTCTCTATAGTACAGAAGAGAAACTGTCAAACTGTAGTGATTAACACAGATTTCTTTTAATAATCGACATGCTAGTGAAATAAACACAGCTGGAAAATGAGAAACCCTTGGATGTTTCCATCAATAAGCATAAACATATCTGGCAAATACTTGAAAGAACTGTCTGCAATGATTTGTGTGTAAATTGTAAAAAACAAGAGACAAATTAATTCATGTCACATTTAGAATGGGTGTCAGGACACTGCATATACTCCCTACTAGGTGAGGTAAAGATAGTAATAGTAAAAAGCAGTTTCTAGAGATCCTAGCTTATACAGAATACAGTGAGTTATACATTACTATAGTAATATTAATAAGTAATAATCTAATCTATAGCTTCTTTTACTAAACAGCATTCTATGGAAGCCTTCACTGATGTATTCATTAGTATAGCTGAGAGGTGATGAGGGCAGGAAAATGAGCTCCACAAAATAAGGATAAGGAAAATTTTTATACTGTGTAACCAGAAAGAAAAAGTCACAAAGAACAAAGGAGAGCAAAGAATAGTTGACATAAAAAGTAATTTTTTTAAACAAGGCAAACATTGTCATCAATTTTGACAGAAAGAAACAAGTATGTGAAGTATGTGAAGAATGAATCCATGCCTAATAATTGGAAACAAATGTTGTTACTCATGTACTATACAAAAGGAAAAGTAGTAAGGGTGAATGTAGAAACTACAGAGAAATGAGTTTGCTAGGTATGCCCAGAGAGTCATTCATTCATTTATTTGTTTGTTTGTTTGTTCATTTGTTTGTTCCATTTATATAGATGCCTATCTTATAACTGATTCTGAACAAAGTTTAAACAGAATAAGGAATTTGGCTGAATTTTCATCCAAAGACCTAAATTTGGAAAATGGAGTATAATTTTATGCCATTTAGAAGCTCTTTAGAAGAGACATTGGTTCTTTAGCAGGTCACTGAGAAATAAGCCAAAGTTGATTGTACATTATGTATTTGTAGAAAGTGCATAATAAAGTGAGCAGACTTAATTGTGGAATCCTATGTACAAATATGGAGATTTTAATTGAGTGCAAAATGAAGTAAGAATGGATATGACTAAATTAAAGCTTGCAAAAAAAATAAACTGATTGTTTAGAAAATGATACAATACAGCAGAAATGAAGGGTGATTGAAATCACCTGTGTTACTTAAAACATTTAAAATAAATGTATAAGAAGTTATTGTAGTGACATTAGAAGTATGTTGTTGACAACAACTATGTATATTTTTACATGAAGATTCTGCTATGTTTCTAGCAGAGACTTCTAATAATTTATGTATGTTAATAGAATGTAATGCAATAAGAAAAATAATATATCAAAACCTAAGTTAACTATGGCTGACAAGTAAAATGGGTAAATTCATGCAAATTATACATAAATTGTAAAAAAGCTAACAGATGGAGAAATTTGAAGGCGCATGAAAATGCTGATGGAAAATGAGTACAGCAGTTGCAAAGAATTAACTGATAATGGCTGTGTTTAAGAACATGCTTCTGCCCGCTTTGTTACATGGGGATGAGGACTGGATAAATCAAAAGAAATATAATAGTAGAGTTCCATGGGAATAAGGTACCTAACATATGCATGAGGGAAACAAAAAAATATATGATCAAGAATTAATGGGTGCTGAATGAATATAAAGCTGTGGTGGCACAGTGGTCAGAATGCAATATTGCAGGCTGACTCTGCTCACTGCCAGGAATTCAATCTTGAGTGCTCAAGGTTGACTCAGCCTTCCATCATTCCAAGGTTGGTAAAAAACAAAAAAAATCTGCTAATTCTTTATTATCTGATATGTAGTTTATATTTAGAAGAAGCAATAATTTTACAGCTGTTAAACTAAATACTACCGGTATTATACTTTTGCTATTTTGATCATGTTACCAATGAAGAAGTGCCCCAAAAGAGTTTTTCCTGCAAATTACATAACATTGTCGCATGCAGGAGACTCTAACTTGCAGTTCACAACTCCATATGGAGAATAATCAAATTCCCAAGATGGCAATGAGATGGACTCCCCCCCCCAATGCCAAATGACCAAGAGAATGCCCTTGAAATATATGGCTAAGAACATTCACAGATGATTTAAAGATTTTAAACATTACATGGGAAGACGCTTACGTATTTGCCCAAAACTAAAAATACTGGACATCCCTTACTGCCTGATACGCTACATAGCACTGGAGGATCTAATGCTAAAGCTAAAATGCTAAACTGAATCCAGAAGTGTTTTCTGAAAGCTTTTTTTTATGAGAAAACCCTATTTTTCTTTCAATTAGCTAACAATGCAACTTCCTCAAACAATGACAGTTTTGAATCTGTATTGAAAAAATGCTGTCAGAGGCATTTGACAATATTTGTGATAAATTTGTCCACATGCTGGGAGCCATTTGGTTAATTCATTCTTATTATAGCACTGAAGTGCAGATCACTCACATGGTTCTCTAATTGTTCTGTAGATGTAATTAATTTTCATTGCATTAACACCATTCATTTTATTGATATTTTTTCTTCTTTTAACGCTCCTTTTTTGGTTTTACAAAACATTATCTCTATTTCTAAACATAATTGTCCTGATTTTTCTTTAAAAAAATGACAAATATTCAATTATCCAATAAAACTGTTTTCTTAAGCAAACAATCAAGTAGGTAAAAATATAATGAGTCATTACAACTATTAGAAAATCTCAAAATATTATGATTATTCTCTGGCTCTATAGCCAGAAAAAAGCATTATTTGAAGAAAGGTGAAATTCTTTTGATTATTACCTTACTATTACTACTGATGTTACCATAAGCAAAGTTATAATTGGTAGAAATTAATGAAACATTAGAATGGGAGTTACAAGGATGGCCTCAAAATGAAGAAGAAAAACCCCCTATTTATTTTATTAAAATATAGGCACACAAAGCATTGATATGTTAAAAGGTGAAGAGTAACCAGTAAACATATTCTATTCGAATTGCAAAAACTGTTAGTAAACATCTGAAAAATATATCTTTAATAGATCATTAATGTTAAGTAGTATGGAATTTAGATGTAAAGTCATAGAAAAAAATACTGCAAACTAATGCTATTTTTGACATAGATCTATGTTAATTTTCAAACACCAACAAGTATAGGCATATCAATCTGCTCAACATTCTGTTTCCACAGTGAATCAAATGTATATAGGTTATCCGTTCAAGGATAGGTTTGAAGCTCCAGAAATTGTGAGTGCTCCAACACTGGAGGTTTTTAAGAAGAGACTGGGCAACCATTTGTCTGAAATGGTATAGGATATCCTGCTTGAGCAGGGATTAGACTAGGACAGACATGTCAAACACAAGGCTCAGGGGCTGGATGTGGCCCGCGAAGTGGTTTCATGCGGCCCATGAAGCCATCCTGGAAACAGTGAGGGAACGGTCGGCCGGGAGTTAATGTGCAATTTTGTGGTGGCCATCTATGCTGAAACGCATTCAGTCTTTAACTTCACAAGGCCGTCTGGAAACAGTCAGGAACCAGCCCCTGCCATGTCGGCCCTGCCTCCTTTGTGAATGCTGGAGAGGTGTCACCCTTTGTGAGGAATGAAGAAATGCACCATTGTGCTGGCCACTTCCAGGTGGTGATGCATTTCTTCATTCCTCACGAAGGGTGACACCTCCCCAGCTGCGTTTGTTGCCTGTTTTTCTTCCTCCCTCATCTCAAATATTTTCCCACCACTCTGTACTTAGGAAAGAAGGAAGGAAAGAAGGAAAGGAGAGGGAGGGTCTGAGGGAAGTCCCACCTTAGTCCTCCCCTGCTGCCCTTTCACCATCCCCTTGCCCCCTCCTCCTGGCCTATCCTGGGGGGTCTGCCATCCTATTCCTAAGGAAGCTTTGGATACAAAGCTGGGTCTCCTCCCATGGAGAGGGAATGGGCCTCCTTCTGACTTTGCCCTTGTACCCATCATGAGCAACCTGGCTAAGGAAAGCAAGCACAGCAGTAGCAGCCTTGAGGAGGAGGTAAGTGCAGCTGGGCATCCCCTTGGGGAAGTGGGGCTGGGCTTGGTGCCGCAGGTGCTCCAGGGCCAGGCTGGGCGTTTGACCTCTGCTGCCCAGGGCTCCGGGCAGCCCGCACCACCATCCAGCCCCCCTGCATGGCCTGAGAGGAACAGTGCGTCTCCTCCAATGGGCCATGCCTTGGCACTTGCCCTGGTTGCACCCCTTCTGCCAGAGACCCTCAGATCTGTCCCATTCCTGCCCAGGCCCCCACGGGCATCCTTGACGCGAATGATGTAGAGCTGGCCATGCCCACCCAATAGGCCACCCCCACTGCATCCACGCCCACCCAGTAGGCCACACCCACTTTGGCCACACACACCCGCCCCCCCCGAGGGCAACTGCAATGCTGATGTGGCTCTCAATGAAATTGAGTTTGACACCCCTGGACTAGAAGAACTCCAAGGTCCCTTCAAACTGTATTATTCTCTTATTCTGATATGTGCACAATATCCTCCTACTCCCGTATCGAATGGTATACAGTCTTGGCTCAATAAGGTCAATTTTGAAAAATCTGCCTATCATATTCACAATTTGCAAAGAATAGTTATCTGCAACTCAAGCATTCCAATTCACAAACAAATTCTTAGATCATCTTGTAACGTATGTGCATATGTGATTTTTCCTCTCTTTAACCCTAGCCTGAAGACAATAGTTAAATACATGTAAAAGAAATTTAGTTCTTGGACATATGGGCATAATGAGAACATTGTTTTTTTAATGATAAAAAGAAATGTTCTAAAAATAGAAGGTAAATATATAAATAATTTTGAAAGCAATGTAACACTTTACCTGCTTTTGCTCTTCTCCCAAGCCATCCCACATAGATGCTACAATTTTAGAAACTTCACCAAAAGTAGCATTTGGATTTTGGCCCTTAATAGCTGCTTGAGTATCTCGGAAAAATAATGCATAAGCAGAAACAGGTTTTTGTGGCTCATTAGGATCCTTCTTTTTTTTCTTCTTAGGAGTTTTGGGTTTCTTTCCCATGTCAGAGGCAGGTCTTTTTTCTCCCCCATTGATCTACCAAAAAAAGAAAAAAATCATTATAAAACAAACTATTGCAATTATTACTGAAAACCAAACTAGTTCTTTGTTCTTCCATCCATATGAATTTAGACTTTTAACTTAAAATTTTACTTTAATTACAGTCCTTTTATAATCCAAATCATTGGCCTGTTACATTATTTCATTTATAAAATTCATTTATAAAGTTATATAACCTAATTATATTATACCTTACAGTTTGTTTTCATTCTAGCTATACTGTAGCTTAGCTTTTATTTTTTAAATCCTTTTCAAGCTTTACTGCAAATGGCATGATGTCATTTTGAACTCTTTCATTAATACGATAATCAGTTTCAATAAAAGGGAATATACATAGCTCAAGGTTGCTTTTCCAAAACACCTTAAGTAAACCAAAAGACTCAGTAGCCCAAGAAGAAAGAACAGGAGTCATCTACAACATCCAATGTGAGGACCGTTTCAGCTATTACCGGTATATAGGAAAAGGTAGAAAATTTGCAGAATACATCCATGAACACTAACCAGAAGTAAGAAGACATGATGAAAACCAACACATGGACTTTTAGGTTGGATATATTGTCTGTATTCAAGTCTGCATCTGCTATATATTGCTAACTAAGTGCAGTGTCATTATGCATTATGGACTGTAATTTCTATACAACAGACTGCTCAAGCTGCTAGTTGTAGGCAACAACCAGTAGTGTTCTATTCTGTTACTGTGGTTTGTCTTTTTTAATAAATTCCCTCTAGAAATGGATCTGGCTCAATTGATTTGTCTATTGATCTTGTACAGTATGTATTTGACTTAAATCCATCAGTTGTATGTATTTGGCAAATAGTCAAAACAAATATGGTTGTAGTGTAGAGCCTGGATATTCAGTGATATGTTCTAGATGGGAGCTGGAAGCACATAAGTATTCATGAGATAAGATAGCTTTTCTGTTTATATGTCCATTGTGTAGTTTTACTGTGACATCAAGGAAGTGGCTAAAACTGACGATGGGATGGAAGCTGTTGAAGTTTTAGAGATTGGTGGATCTTCTTCATGATGAAGAAAATGTCATCAAGTACAAGAGAGATTTCAGGGGCAAAGGTATTCTAGGTCAGCCATGAAAATATCACTGCCAAACATAATGTAGTTTTGGTTGAATGCAAAATCATACAGTCTAGGGACAAGGTATGCTATGTTGACTTCAGTGGTTATGTTCCTGATGGCTTGAAGTTCACATGTTTGGGGAATATTTATTTATAGTGCACGAGCATCTAGCTACTATCCAATTTAGCTTTAGTGTCTCTTATATACCTATGGCTGCTGGTGACAGGTCTGAATTCAGAATCTATAAAAGCTAATATTGCTCCTGGAGTCACATGATCACATTTTGGACACTTGGCAACTGGCTCACATTTTCCACTGGTTGTAACATCCCATGGTTATGTGACCATGATTTACAACATTTTTTGCCAATTTCTGGCAAAAACACCCATTTGGGAGAATGGATTTGGACTTTCAACTTAAGTCACTTAACAACCACTGTAAAACTGTTGTACAATTGGATCCATCAACAAGGTCTGGTGATAAACATGAGTGCCTCAATTTATGACCATCATGAGTTACAAACAAAATTCCAATTTCAACAATGGTCATAAGCTGAGAACTACCTATATTCTGGAACTTGGGCCTGAAAGAGGAAGTTTACATGAGGCTATAGGGCTGTTTATTTTTAAGGGTGCCCCAGTTTTCATCAATAAAATTTCAGAATATGAGCAATGGTACATGCCACATTAGAAGTAGAAAAAATAATTATGTTTTTAAACTGCATCCACATTGTCAAGAGAATATTACATGAATGGTTAGTAATGGATTACATATTTTAAAAAATGCTGCATTCAAAATAAAAGCATATGAAAAGTACTGAAAACTTTGTCCCTGTCACATTTCTCTCCACTGTAAGTAATATATGAAGATAATCTTCACATAAAATTGTAGTACAAATTTATTTGTGTTATTAATTTATTCTGAGGAGTGTTTATTTATTTATCTATCTTGGCTTATATGCCATTCCAGTCATGCTTCACTCTGAATAGCATTTATGCAAATTAAACCCAAATGTAAAACCTACCGAAAGTTTCTGTTAACAGTTTTTGTTAACAGTTTTTATGAGAACAAAAAGAAAAGTAGTTCTTTTTCTAGAATAATAAAATATGCCATGGTTCTTCTTATATTTAGTAAGATCTTTTTCCTATGCAAATTGGCATTTCTGTTACAATAGATCATAATATTTCTCACAGCACTCAAAGGCAAAATTTAAATTCTTTACTACCTAATACCACTGCCATATCAATGTAATCATATAAACATCAAGAACCTGGTACTTGTAGCATCAGTGCAAAAAGTCAGCATTATCCACTCCCTGGATCTGTACCCTCTGAAAGCATTAAACATCTGTTTATAAGATCCTTAAACTGTATGCATGATTGTCTATGTTACTGAAACATAAATTAAGATCTCTGTAATGTTATATTTATTATGGCTTTGTTCGACACTGGAATGGTTATGACTTAGAATCTTCTTTTTCTTTCAAAGCGTAGTCTCATCACTTTTTATTAACATTGGAACGACCATGTTCGTGCTTTAGAATCAGGATAATAAACTTGCAGCACAAAGGTGGAAATCCAAATTCTTTAAACCATCATGCATGTTTAGCTAACAAGTTACTCAGCTACTTAGAATAGTTATTTACCAAGTTACTATTGGCATATATAGAAGGCTACAAAGAAAAACTGCTATCTCAGAGGCAGGATGAATGATTCACTGGATTTGAGTTGTTCGTCCAGGATTTTTTTTTTTCAAACAAGGAAGTTAAAACTAAATTCACATTAATAACTTAGAAACTAAAGAGGGTGATTTTGGAATCTTATGGTTCTAACAACCAGCAATTATACAGATTTTGCTGCTAGCCATCAAAATGGAGATAGATGGGAAATTGTTTTAAAAAATTCTCATTCTTAGTTTGCTAAGCACAGACTTCTGCTTCAAAATCCCTGGAGGTATAGTTAGCTTGAGGTAATCCACCTCCTGTCAGACCTTATTGCTTAATTATAGTGATGTATTTAACTTATTTATCACAAGAAGGCACAAGTCACTCACTTTAAAAATCTGTATTAACCATGATTCACAAATAATAGATCACAAGAATAGATAGATAAGGATTTAAGATTATCAAAAAAAGGTGTAATGATGATATCTAAATGCCCCCTGAGAAGCCAACAATACCTAGAAGCATATTTAAAATAAACAGCAATAGTTCCAAGATTTTAATGGAAGGTAGGAGAACTGTTTTATTCACCATAGATTAAATTAAATAGATTAATTCAAGTACCATAACAGACTAAGCAAAAAACATAAAATTCTACTTAAAACAAAGTAAACTGTTAGGTTCTCTGCTACAAAAACAAAAAAACAAAAAACAGAATAGGCTACAGCAAAGCTTTAATGATCATGTTTCAGTTAGTTAATTTGCTGTTGACAATCCTCTCATACCATGTTCTCTAAATTCCATGAAATCCTTTCATATACGAAACTCTTTGTCAGCAAAAATCTAAATTTATAGAAATAGTTTATTGCAGTAGTGACTTGAGCCTGCAAAAGGTTCCTAGATTGGGGCTGAAAGGCAAAACGGTTTCTCTTATTTGGAGGGATAAAAAAACTTTTTATTCTTTTTCAATCAACTTCGTCAATTTGGTGTTCCCAGTAATTTTTGCTGCATTCTAACCCAAATTTCTGGTAAAGCTTCCAATGTATAATTTTGGCAAATTGATCATGACATTGTAGATAATAAGTCTGTGAGATTTTGCTGCAGCCACTGATAAGGTGATCCACTGTTTCCTCTTTTTCGTTGCATAAGTGATATTGTTATTGCTGACATGTTGAATTTTTGCTTTCATGGTATTGGTCTGCAAGACTTGTTCTTGGGTAGCCAAAATGAAGCCTTCAGTTTCTTTCTTCAGCACTCCTAATCTCAACCAGCTCCATATTAACTTTGTATCTATCTTTCCTTCAATGTTCTTCAGGTATTGACTGTGCATAGGTTTCTTTTTCCAGTTAAAAACCCGATACTCAATGGTTTCCTTTCTATATTCTGCTTTCAATCTTGTTGTTTTCAAGAGGTTTCCCTTGTTCATCTCCTTCAGCAGAAGCTCTTTTGCTTTTTTATGTTGTCAATTAACTCTTCCACAGTTTGTTTCACCTGTAACAGACCTCTGACACCCTGAGATCTTGGCAAGTACAATCAAAACATCACCTTTTGGATGCAGAGCATGGTGCATTGTCATTAGTTTTCTTGTCTTTCAATCCAAATTATCAAGTTCTAGCTCAGTCCAATCAATTATTCCAGCTGAGTATAGTATTACATGCATTGCCCAGGTGTTAATTGCCTTTATGATATTTCCTCCATTCAGCTTTGATTTCAAGATTTTCCGGACTTGTTTTATGTATTTTGTTGAAGTAGCTTCCTTGACTTGGTTGTGCAATAAATCAGAAGCTTCCAAAACTCCTAAGTACTTGTACTCCTCTTCTGGTGTTACTGCATTTATCAGCTTTTCATTATCAAGTTTGAAATCTATTATCTTCAACAATTTTTCCTGCATTAATAACAATTGTTGCACATTTGTCAATGCCAAATTGCATTTCAATTCTTTCTGCTAAACTCCTCAGTGCTTTTCAGCAGTGAGCTCAATTCAGCTTTTGTTTTTCCAAACAGTTTTAAATCATCCATGTAAAGCAAATAGAAAATTTTCAGCCTTTTTTTAGCCAAGTCATAGCCACATTTGCTTTGTTCAAAATGCTTATTAGTGGCGCCATCGAAAGTACAAATAACAGAGGTGACAATGAGTCCTTTTGGAAGATTCCTCATTTGAAGACCTATCTTGATGGCTAGAAGGTAGAACTACAGTAATTACTTTATTTCCTTCCTCCAGCAACAGAAAGATAGTATAGATTGTGGGAACCCTCACCAAGCAAGTGTACACCTGAAGAGGTGTTTCCTGAAAGATAGATAATGGCAGCATAATTAGCTAGTTGCCACTCTAAGCAAAAGGTGGGCCATGTGAAAGCTGCTTGGAATAGAATGAAAATAATTCTGTTACAACGTATTACAGAAGTAGGTGGATTTATACAAATGCAAATATAAAAATGATATTTTGTTGAATGAAGTGGAAAGATGATAAAAATGCATATAACAGCCTATATATTACAAAGTAATATGTTCTTGGTGATTATCTCACAGTAACAAGAGGGTCACTGCATTCTGTACTTTTTGTAGTTTCTGATCCACTCTAAATGGGTCTTCAGTTTAGTCCCATAAATTGCAATACACTGCAGTAGTTCAACTCAGTAATGATGAAGGTATGAGGAAATTTATTATAGTATGTGAAAAGAGAGTAAAAGATAGTCACAAAGAATGTAGTCAAAAGATACCAAGGAACAGTTAAATGAAAAAAAGGTGGTAAAAAATATTCACCAATTCTGACAGAAATAAAGTATTTTGGGGCGTGTGTGAAAGTTAATTAAACTGCTTCCAGCAGTTTAAATTGAATTAAAAATAAAAGCAATGAAGCAAAAAGAAACTGATGTAAAAGAATGCTGGTGGGGCAGTCTAGCGAATTCTATGGGAATGATGTGATCTTGTTGAAGAATGGAATTGGAAAAAATGTTATAACATTTATGGTCAAGCATGCCTATGAAGGTATTCAGCAGGCTTCCAATTAAAGAAAAATGAGGAGTTACACAGAGGAACATTTTTGAAGTGCAGCATGGCCTTGGAAGGATGTACCAAATCAGAATTTTGGCCTTCAGTTAATCATGATTTATGAACATGAGAAGTAACATTTGAAGTTTATTGATTTTGCAAAAAATATGGTAAAGTTGATAGGCTTGAATTATGAGTTTAGGGAAGTATAGATTTGGTTGATGAATGTGATATGAAGGAAATAAAGGATGATGGAAAGTAAAATGGAATGCTTAGTGAATCATTTGACATTCATTCATTCATTGTAAAGGTATCTATGGAGAAATATATACGAAATGCTTAATATAACTGGAGAAGAACATTGGTTCAGGAGGTGAATATATGTGTACTTCTATATGTAGTTAATGATTATATTGTTGACTGGGAATCCAGAGTTTGCAGCAAATAGTAGATAGAAGGTATGATATAATAGGAGTGTGGATCTTAAAATCAGTGTATCAAAGAGAAAGCTTTGATACACTGGTAAGATGTTGCAAAAAATAAGATCAAGTAGATGAATTTGTCTATCATTTTGGAATATAAACATACAAGTAAGTGTATTTATGTATTAATCAAATTTATATATCTGTCCATTTCATGAAAAGTGACACTGGGTGGTGAACAACAATCAGATGAAACAATAAATAAAACTTGTACATGTATAATGTACATGTATGTAAAAAAATCTTATTAATAAATGTAAAAATGTTAAAACCCCTTATTAATAAATATAATACAAGCAAAAGAGAGGATAAAATTATACCTCAACAATTGAGCCACCTGAACAAGTTTTTCGTTGCTTGGGAAGTCCAGGCCAGTTTTCACACTTAAAATCATTGCAGCATTTCTCATTATCATATGATCAAAATGTGGGCAATTGGCAACTGGCATGTATTTATGACAGCTGCACTGTCAAATGATCATGTGATCATTTGTAACCTTGTAACCTGATCGCATGATTCACTTAACAACTTCAGTGAATCACTTAACAACTGTGACAAAAATGTCACCAAATGGGACAAAAGTCATTTAACAATTGCCTTGCTTAAGCAACAGAAATTTTGGGCTCAGCTGTGGTTGTAAATCATGGACTATTCGTAAGTCCACGATAGAATTTATATAATTTTGAAAAACAAAGGGGCAAGTTTAAAGATCAAAAAGCAATATATGAAGTAATATAAGGTATGGTGGAATAATGGTTTGCAAGGGTAGATGAGAATGCAAGAAGTATGGTAACTAATGTTTGTGTAAATTAGATTCAGTTATGGTTTCTTTTATTTTTCTAATCTCAGGCCTTAAATTTCTTTGTCCATTTTTATGGTTCACATACCTATTCACCCAACCTACCAATGTAAGTAGAAACTGCAGCTAGTTGAAGTTCAGATGCTAATTTCATATTTAATGGATCGTATACAACAGGAAAGAAATGGAGTATCTTGAATACATGGGAGAGAATACTTATTACATGGATTAAGCATTTATGTTGAGTTAAAATGGGATAAAGTTGAAAAAAGAAATAAAACAATTGTTTACACAGTATGGAGTAAACTTGTATAAACAAGTTTATTGAGAGGAAATCTCTCAATTAATGTTTGGAGTAGAGAATTTATAGATGGTATCACACTTGAAAAAAGGCATTTGATATTGATTAAAATTTAAAAATTTTAAACTTTAAAATTAAAATAAAATTAAATTTCATTAAATTATGTTTAAATTTTATAGTGCTGGTTACAAATAACCACAGTTTTAAAAGTATTGGTCATACCTTTGAAGTATCTTCTTCATCTTCATGAACTGAACTGGATGGTGAAGGAGTGGCAGATTTGCTACCAGGGGGAGATGGAGAGTTGTGAGGAACATTGTTTCCACCCATATTTAAACCAAGCTGAGCACTTAGTTGTGATTGGTTAATAGTTGTCAGCTGACCATGTTGTATTATTCCTGGTTGCCTCATATCTCCAGGCTGGACTCTTGGCCTCATGGCTGCTATCTGGGGATGGGAATTATATTGAGTTCCTTCTGTATTCCGTAATTCTTGCATCTAAAAGAAAAATATTATACATTTATTATTTGTTGTTATTGTTCCACTGTTCAGAGAATTTATCCTGAGAAATGATTTAAAAATTCATTAAAAAAATAAATGAAATCATATGATAGGGAGTTGCAAAATTTTCCTCATCTTAAAACACAGCAATATTTAAGAAAAGCTTAAAGCTTAATGCTTAAGAAAAAATTCATAACGTCAAAACATTTCCCTTTATATATCATCATTAGAAAGCCCCAGAAGCAGGAAAAATGAGCTAAGATTATGTAATTGTATCTAAATTTTATCGCTCTCCAAATCAATTTAGTTTCAAAAGAGCTGAAGAATTTTTAAACAATTGGACTCTAGTTTTAATATATAAGGCTGTCCAAAAAGCTACTATAATTTTCCATGTGGAGAAAACAGTGAGTTAATGATTGGTTGATTACTTGACTACACAATTCATTTTTTGAAATCATTATAAATGAGTGCTTCAGACTCTAAAGTTATGAGCTTCATAAATTACATTTGTGGGCTTAATTTCATTTTATTTTTTTTAATTTGAACAATAAATCTAAACTTTATTAAGATAAAAAATGAGAAGGCACTAAAATAAAGAATACTTTCTTCTTCATTAAGACAAAATACATTCAAATATTACAAATTATCAATCTGAAGTTTTCAAATTTGAACTATACAATATAAATACAAAAGAAGTAGTATATTTTGCAGCCTTAGTTCAATTACTTACATTTGTTTGAAAGCACAATAGAAATAAGGCATACATAAACAATAAACATTATCTTTTCAAGGTGCAATGCATCATATATTAATTTACACTCTATTCTTACCTTTTTACCTACCATATTTCCAGAGTTTTATTATAAAGATAAATATTTTGAAAAATAACCTTACTCATTTCTACTTAGTTTGATGTGAAATGTAATAATAAGTGGTAGGGTGAATTATTTTTGCAATAAACTAAATTATTGGGAAAAATCATTGAAATATATATTTGATAAATATATTATATTTGATGAAATATGTCATTACTTCAGAATGACTGAGGTACGCTTAAAATAGATCTGTAAGGGTTTTACTATACAATCAATCAACATTGTAGGAAGATCTATTCAGATATAGTAATGAAAGTAGTAGCAGCATAGTTATTGTGTTTAATGCTATTACTAATAAAAAATTGTATTTGTTAGTAGAAACAGGTATTTTTTATCCATAAAAACAAACACAATTCCAGAAATCTGCCTCTCAACAATCAAGAGCTGTGCTCAATTATATGGAATAGATGGTACATCCAAAATGCTCTTAAATTAATTTAGTGAGAGTATTGCAAATTTTTCCATTTTTTTATTTCATTACATTTTAAAAAATTTTTATATTTCAAGTAGAGTCCTAATTAGGCACTTTTCATTATTATTTTATTAATGAAGAACTGTTATAAATCTTTAGCTTTGTACCCATATTTAGTAGATCAGAAGACTGAAAATATTTCCTACGAATTATAAATGAAATTTATAGATATAGATATATAGATATAGATATGTGGCTTATTTAAACTGTGATTTGAGAATAAATATTGGTTTCTTGAATTGATGGCCTGGTGTTGACATGATTTTAGACCCTGTCAGAACTGGCACAAGCACATTTTGCTCTGACCTCTCTCCATGGCCCCCCAAAAGTAACAATTTAATAGTTAAATACTGCTTTTTCCATAATAACAAGGACAACCTTGGGAAACATTTTAATACAACACATCCTCAGGTTCAGAAGTTATAGCAAATGAAGATACAAGGTGTCAGGATGCAATCTTAGAAGTCCTATCCAGTTTTTGAAAGAGGCCAAGAAATGCATGCTTTCCATAGAAATAATTTAAAAACTTACCAACTTATAAGTAGAATAAATCAAAATATTATTTTAGGTTTACAGCAAAAGATCATCAAAAAAATTGGAGGACCATGATATAATGTATGTATCTCTACAGAAAGTATCATTCTAGCTGTAGAATTTTGGAAGTGGAACTCCACACAATTTAAAGTTGCCAAAAATATCTGAACAGAATAACTGTATCCAGAATTTGCATTATTTTTAATTTTTCTTCAAACACCAAGGCGTTCTAAAGTGCAATCACGTGACATCAATTATCACTTTTAACAGCCTTTCCCAAAGTCTGTATAATAAATTTAACCACAACATTAGAATTAATGTAATGAATAATCAGGGATGGGAGAGGACAGAGCAAGAAAAATAGTGTATATTGACAACTGATGGTTTAGAAATAAATCTTGAAAAATATTTCAAGATGGTTACTGGCTCTTTACTTTCTCCTTTCAATAGTTCTATCCTAGTCAAATACATTAGCCTCCAAAGCTATCATTATTTCTGCCTCTAGCAGACAATCTATATCTGAACAGTTGTAAACATAAAACTTGGCTGTATTGCTTCTGATCCAGCTGTTTCATTGAATAGCATTTGGTGAATAAAGAACTGGAATATGGGTACCCCCGAGGCCTTATTTGCTAATGTTAGTCACCAGCTGCTGCTTTTTGTAGTGATAATAAGAAAGGCCAGAAAATATGCCAGAGAAGGAGGAGTAAAAAGAAGCATCAGCAGAAGAGAAGATCTCAGAAACCTTTTCATTCTGTATATTTGTTATCATTTAAATTTCAACCCTGGTGAATTTTCAAGGCTCAACTGAATAGTTTCTTAGAGTTAAAAGTGTGAATAGAGCCTATAAGTTACAAGAAAATATTTTTCCTGGCAGATCTTTTGTTATATGTATACGTGACCAATCATCCTGAATTTTCATAGTGAAATAAGGGATCTAGAATTTTAACTGATACTTCTACAACCTAATTTCACCCTCTTGTATTATTTGCACTTTCAGAAAAGAATTGATAGAAGGTAAACAACCAAGGTAAACAGCTAAAAGCTTTAACTGACTAGACATTTCCAAGGGTAGAAAAGTGGCTTGGAAATCTTGGTTTAAAGACAATGGTTCATACTGATACATTATGACACCACATAATAATTAGCTGTAGCAATTGAAGCTGGGCAAAGGCCTTACTGACCAATACAACCAGCAGTTCTTCAAAATGAAGCTGGGAGACTAGGAAGACACCCAGATTACAGGCTTGGTCTTTTAGGGGAAATGCATCCCACTAAAAGCCAAAAATTATATTTATTTTCTTGTATGTACAATATCTATCAGTGGCAGCTGACAGAGTGGATTAAGCTGGTTTATTGTGGCACTTATGAAAAAGAATGCAAGGGGACACCTTTCTATGGTTGTATTTTCTGTAAACTGAAATTATAAGGTGTTTTATTCTTAAGTATAAATATTTATTATATAAAAACAGCTAACATTGTAATAGTCTGATTAAGATAAAAACTGTTAGATGCTAGGGAGTCATTTAACCTCTCTTGGACATCTGTTTGGAAAATTCATCCTGCTTGCACAAGAGTAAACAAACACTCTCAACTGGCCCACCTGAAAAAATTTATTGCATGTATACAGTTATATGTGTGAATCTGCTAAAACTATGGTCATGAAGAATTCTGTCCTTGTGTCTCAGTCTGGATTAAGCCAACATGTACTTTCTTTAATCAAAAACAAAAATACTTAAGGACACTGAAAACCAAAGAATTGTTTTCTTGTGGATCTCTTCATTGGCCTATCTTTCTTAAAATAATCTCTAATAACTAATAACAATTTTCCAGTATTTCTCAGTCCTGTCATAAATTTCTATTCAGCAATATCATTATTCCAATTTGTTCAGTTGAACAAAAAAGACAACTTGATTTAACATGGAAATGGGCTGTTGGTTGGATCTCCGAGCTTGGCAATTTGGCTGCAAACGTTTCGTCTCCATTCAGTGCACTTTGAATTGTGCTTTTCTGTCAAAGCATTGGCCTTTAAATACCTTTTTAAAGACTTGTGCTCTGACAGACGAGCACAATTCAAAGAGTACTGGCCAGATGCCCTTCCTAATGCCATGTGGAGTTCGCAGCAGCTATTTTTTCTTTGCTCCCTAGAAGAGGAACATTTGCCAATACCTAGGATTGAACTCTCAACCTTCCAAGTGGGAGGCAAGCCTCTTCACCACTAGGCCAGCACCCCACTCTATATTTGTAATATATCAGTTTAAAATTTTCACAAAGGAGCAAAGAGTGCAAATGTTTCACTAAATCCAGGCTGGCAGCTGGAATTACATTTCATTTTTTTGCAGGGCGGTGGTCAAGACCTTTTGATGAATTCTCTTTTAAAGGGTCTAAATAATGGCTACTTTTTGCTTTATCAAGGCTACCTAAATAGACCATTTTAGTTAATTCCAATGATATTGTCAAGGTAGAAAACAGACAGAATATAAAAACAAAGCTTATAGGAAATTATTCTATAATTAAAATTCAGTTATTGTTTCCTAATATTAATCTTGGGTAGTTCTTTAAAAATAAGCCATCGAGTTTTATTGTACTGCCTCAACTGATATAACTTATCTTAAATGTCTTTAAAATAATTAAATGTTAAAGCAGATTTTTTTTTAGCATGGTCATGTAACAACACAAATGTTTTAACATAACATTTTAGTATACACTTCATTTTTAAAAAATTAACATTGAGTTTTACTTGATGTGTTAATAACCTTTGAGTCATGCAGGCCAAGGTCTCAGAACTAATCATAAAAGAAACACACTGACTACTATTCACTTTGATATAATAACCTTTTATTTAAAACAACTTCCAATAAATTTCATTGCAAGAAGTTGCTAAAAGGGTTAAAACCTATTAAATGTCAAAGAATTTGCCTGACTCAAACTTACAATAAAGAAAGAGAATAGGTTTTCTTTCTGAATTATTTAAATCTTTACTGTGCACTGAACCATTAAATTAGAAAAGTGTTATTAGAAGTGTTCTCTGGTTTTTATAAAAGTTGTAGCCTAGAATGTTTCAAACTACAGCCTTTAACTTGAGCAGTTGAAGAAATAGGTTTTTAATCCTAAAA